AATCAAAAGGAAAGGGAGGACCTAAAAGGAAAGAAACTAAGGAGAGCGACAATAGCTCTCGGAAGGGAAAAAAGAAACTCCAGAGTAGCGCTACCCCAGAAAAGAAAAGCATATATCCACTTTTGGATGAGTTTGCTAATTTTTCGATTGACCGATCATCGGATGAGGAGGATCGGTTGGATGAGGAGGAGGATTTGAGCGTAAAGGATTTGGCGGAGGCTGCACGGACTTAAGGAATGTCAGCCAGCTTTACTCTAGGATTGGTGGAGCATTTAGGGCAGTCAGCTATGACCCCCGCTGATTGGATGAGCACAGTGAAAGCACGTGTTTCTTTAGGACAATACCTGGATTTTCAATCTATATATACTGATCTTGCCATTGCACAGGCCCGCGCTAATGCGGCTAATGGCAATGCCGCTTGGACGGCTGATATGTTGCTAGGACAAGGGCAGTGGATTAATAACCAGACAGTTTTTCCAATATTGTGTATCTTGCCAACTGAAGAAGCCCCTACTGCAGTACTCTGGCAGAAGGGACCTTTGTTGTGGGTCCATGTCCATGCCTCCATCCCTAAGGTTATTCAATATTATCCTGCAGCAGTCGCTACGATTGCTATGGCAGGCATAAAATTGTCTTTGACATATTTTGCTATGCAACCTCATTTGCTTATACAGCCATATAATCCTAAACAGATTCAAATTTTATGTGCCACCGTAGATGACTGGGCCGTGTTGATTACCACCTTTAATGGTAGATTTGATAATCACTATCCATCAGATAAATTGTTACAATTTATTATGCACCATCTGGTGGTTTTCCCTAAAATAACAGCCTCACATCCGCTGGAAGCGGCGGTTACGATTTTTACTGATGGTTCAAGCTCAGGCAAAGGAGCTTATGTGATACTGGGAGGAGGGACAGTGAGGAAATGTTTCCAGTACGACAGACCGCAAATGGTTGAGTGTCAAATGGTGTTGGAGGTGTTTCGCAACTTCCCAGAACCCTTGAACATTTATTCGGATTCTCTTTATGTAGTTAATGCAGTCCGCTGTCTAGAGGCCTCAGCAATAATATCAACTACTAGTCCTGTATCCTGTGTTTTCCTGGCTCTTCGTCAAGAGATTAGGAGCAGGAAATATCCCTTCTATATTACCCATATTAGAACTCATTCCCTTTTGCCCGGCTCTTTAGCAGATGCTAATGTGCAAGCTGATGCTGCAACAAAAGCTTTTCCATCTTAAATTATGGACCCCTTAGCGGCTGCAAAGCAGTTCCATCAATTATATCATGTGTGTGCTAAAGTCTTAAGATTAAAATTTGGTATAACTAGACAAAATGCCAGGGAAATAGTCAAGTCTTGTGAAGCATGTGTTTCCTTTCATCATTCTTCCCATGTTGGAGTCAATCCTAGGGGTCTTAAGCCCGGGGACCTTTGGCAGATGGATGTCACTCATGTGCCCGCCTTTGGGCGCCTTCAATATGTTCATGTATCAGTAGATACTTGTTCAGGGGTTATTCATGCCACACTCCTGACTGGGGAGAAGGTCACCAATGTGGTAACACATTGTTTGGAGGCTTGGGCTGCTTGGGGCAAGCCCCAACACTTAAAAACAGACAATGGCCTGGCTTATACATCCAGAACATTTAAAGGTTTCTGTGAACGCATGGGTGTTCAACATCATACTGGCCTGCCGTACAACCCACAAGGACAAGGAATAGTTGAGAGGGCTAATCGCTCCCTGAAGGAACTTTTACAAAAAAAGGGGGAATAGGCCATGGCCTACCACCAAGGAATGCTATATCCTTGGCAACATTTACCTTGAATTTTTTAACCTTGGATGATAAGGATCGCTCACCTGCTGATAAACATGCAAGCATGAGCGCCATAGAATCCACCCTAGTAAAGTGGAAAGATGTGTTAAAAAATAAATGGAGTGGACCGGATCTGGTGATTGCCAGATCCAGGGAAGCTGTTTGTGTTTTCCCACAGGATCAGGAGGACCCAATCTGGGTGCCAGTAAAACTGACCAGAGAAGTGAAGATCGCTGCGAAGGATGAAGACAACCCAGTGAATACTGATCATCCTGCTGTGGGTGACTCAAACAGATGCGAAGAAGATGACAGTCTGGCGGAACAAGTCTGAACAAATTGGACGAAACCTGGCAGGAAATTGGTCGCCAGAGATGGAACTGCTACTTCAAGAGCAGCTGTTTCAAATCACCATTTTGAATAGCACCCGCGTGCAGCCTCTCACTCTTGGACAGTTTTCAGACTGGCTCTACTCTGCCTTTTCTTTTTTCAAAGAGTGGGTGGGTGTGGGAATGTTCAGTGCCCTGTGCTGCCTCGGTGTGGTCATATGCTTATGGCTCCTTTGCCGATTCAGGACACGCCTGCGCAGGGATAAAGCAATTATGGTACAGGCTCTTGCTGCCCTTGAACAAGGAGTCTCCCCCCAGGTCTGGCTACGTAGCCTTAAAGATGGCCTCTGAGCAAGATGCAGCCTCGGCACCTCCAGCCTTAGGGCATTGCACGGAGATAGGTGCATCTTTGCTCCCCTCTTCTCTGTCTCTTTTACCCGGTCTTACAGTCCTTGCACCTTGTTGGCCTTGCTGTCATTACACTCGAGAGGATTTGGACTAGGGTGCTTTTGCACCCTCGATCGTGAGGAAAGTCATGAAGTTCCCCACTAGATCGGGTGTTCTGTTTTTAAACAAAAAAGGGGGAGATGTAGGGTCTGGCATTAAGCCCATTGCCGTTTTTTCTATTGTCCCTAGTTGGTGAACAACTGCGCACGCTCACCGCTCACCGCTGGCCCAGGAGTAATTTGATTCTCACCTATCACTTGCTCACACGTCTTGCTCACACGATTGCCTCAGTGTGGTCTGAGCCAATCGAGCAGTGATACGTCAAATCGGGCAATGACACGTCAGAGGCCGACCAGGGGCTGTATATATTCCCCCCCCGCGCGGAAGGGCTCGGGGTCTTTTCGCCTCTATCTACACTTCAGTCTTCTGTGCTCCATTAAAGTACGTTTCAAGAAGAATCCTGTTGAGGCGTCTTCTCTGCTGGCGGAGTCGCGCACTGCACCCTGTTTGTCTCTGCCCTAGATAGGAGGAGAAAAGACGGATGGTATCAACTGAAGCTTGAGAGCAAAAAGCCCCTGGGGGCGGGGCAGGACTATCAAAAACCAGAGGTAGTTGTCACGTTAACCCTTTTCACTCTTCAGATTGACTTATGAACCGCTGAGAAAGAGAAGCCACAGGTTGGCAGATATGCAGCAGCAGGCAGAGGAGAGCGGGCAGCTTTGACAACCTCAGAACAAAGGCTCTGCTCAGGTACCTGCTAAGGAGCATCCTGGGGTTGGGGTGCCAAGGCGATCAGGGGTGCTTTCATCTCCTCACAGAGAGGTCAGGAGAAGGCTAACTTCTAAAAAAGAAACTGAATGTCTCCAAAGCCTGAGCTTGGGTATGTCTTGCTGGCTGACAGGATGGGCCTGCCCCTTGCTCTCTCCAGAATACAGGAGGGAGGGAAAGCTTCGCAGGAGGGGAAACTAAGCAAGGATGAGCTCTCCTGGGGACCAGCCTTTACCTCAAAAGCTTCCTTTCCATCACACCATCTTGTATGTCTCTCAGTGAAGTTTCAGAATTTGTGTGTTGAGGGGGAGTATTGAGAATGGTGTTGTGCACACCAAGCATGTGTTCTACCAGTGAGCAGCACCCTCAGGCCCCGTAAGTTTTTATTCTCAATTATTTCATTTTTTGTGTGTACAGGTCAGGGGTCAACCTTGGTGCCAGCCTTCAGGTGTTCTCTGCTGTGTTTCTTGAGACAGAGTCTCAGCTTCGTGCTCACCAAGCAGGCCGGGTTGGCCGGAGCCCCAGAGAGCTGCCTGTCTCTGCCTCCAGCACAGGGATTGCAGGAACACGCCACCACGCGTGAGTTTTGGGGCTTGAATTGAGGTCTTCATCCTTGCTCGACAAGCATCTTACTGAGCTATCTCTTCCTAGGCCCTAGTTTTTGATATGACTGGATGATATATAGCATTTCTGATATGACTGGATGACATATAGCCTTTTTGATATGAGGGGATGATATAGCATTTCTGATATGACTGGATGATAAAGTCTTTATCAGGTTTACTTTCTGGAAAACCTGATGCTTTTCATTTTTAGTGTAGTTGGGATCATTTTTTCTATTGCATTTTAAATTTTTTCTGGGGGTTATGGAAGCAATGGAAGAATATCATGAATTCATGAATATCATGGGATATATCTAAAGCAAAATATGAAACATCATTTATGTTACTTGTGAATTAATACATAAATATTATACATTGCATACACCTAGGTATTTTGCTTGTTTGAGAAAGGGTTCCTCTGTGTAGCCCTGGTTGTCCTGGAACTCTGTAGACCAGGCTAGCCTTGAACACAGAGATCCACCTGCTTCTGCCTCCTAAATGCTGGGATTATAGACTTGCACCACCATATCCTACCTGTATATTGTTTATGGATACATAAAATGAAAGAGAAGCTAGGCATAGTGGCACACGCCTTCAATCCCAACACTTGGGAAGCAGAGGCAGGTGGATCTTTGTGAGTTTGAGGCCAGCCTGGTCTATATCGTAAGTTCTAGGGCAGCCAGTGCTACATAATGAGATTCTATCTCAAAAATATAAAAATTAATTAAAATAAGGAGGGAGGGAGGGAGAAAGAGGAAGGGAAAGAGGAGCCACACAAGGTGGTACATGGTACAGATCTATATCAGCACCAGGGGCCTGAGGCATGAGGCCAGCCTGGGCTAAGTAGTAGGTTCCCAAACCGCCTACCCTGTACAAAGGAAGCAAAACCTAGGGAGAATACACCACACCCTGGTGGTAGAGCACATGTGCCCACTAACACCTGATATTGAGCCCCAAGGGGCTAGGGGAGGGGCTTAAGGGCTCCAGTGTGTCCATGCAATCCTCAGCATCTCTCATACTCCTCTTTGGCCAGTCTCCTGCCTCAATGGATTACACGCTGGAGCCCAATGTGACGACGACGGACTACTACCCTGACGACTTCGCCATGCCCTGTGACACGGAGCTCATCCTCAGGGGCAGCGGGTTGCCACTTGCCCTCTTCTACTGCATCTTGTTTGTACTGGGCCTTCTGGGAAACAGCCTGGTCATCTGGTCCTTGTGGCCTACAAGAAGCTGAGGAGTATCACGGACATTTACCTCCTGAACCTGGCCGTTTCGGACCTGCTCTTTGTCTTCTCGTTCCCGTTCCAGACTCACTACCTACTGGACCAGTGGGTGTTTGGGACTGCCATGTGTAAAGTGGTCTCCGGCTTTTACTATATGGGCTTTTTCAGCAGCATGTTCTTCATCACCCTAATGAGCGTGGACAGGTACCTGGCTATTGTCCACGCTGTCTATGCCCTCAAAGTGAGGACGGCCCGAGTGGGCACGGCCCTGAGCCTGGCGGTGTGGCTGATGGCCGTCTTGGCCACCATTCCGCTGCTGGTGTTTTATCAAGTGGCTGCTGAGAATGGTGTTCTACAGTGCTTCCCGTTTTACGACAACCAGTCTTTGAAGTGGAAGCTGTCTGCTCACTTTGAAGTGAACACCTTGGGCCTGCTGCTCCCCTTCACCATCCTTCTCTTCTGCTACATCAGGATCCTGCAGCAGTTGCGCAGCTGCCAGAATCACAACCGGACCAGGGCCGTCAAGCTGGTGCTCACTGTAGTCATCGCGTCTTTGCTGTTCTGGGTCCCCTTCAACGTGGTCCTCTTCCTCACGTCCCTGCACGACATGCATGTCTTTGATGGATGTGCCATGAGCCAGAAGCTGGCTCTGGCTACCCATGTCACGGAGGTCATCTCTTTCACACACTGCTGTGTGAACCCTGTCATCTATGCTTTCATAGGCGAGAAGTTCAAGAAATACCTCGCGAACGTGTTTCCAAAAGGTTGCAGCCACCTCTTCCTCTATCTAGGGAAACAGATGCCGGTGGGGGCGTGGGATGCGCACTCTTCCATAGGAAGACAGATGCCTGCGGGGGCGTGGGATACGCACTCTTCTCACTCCTCCACCCTAGACTACATTTTGTAGGAGGGCATGCACAGATTGTGCCTCCGCCACTCTTCCTACTCCCAATCTGTCCCCCTCTCCCCGCTTCCCCTCCTCCCACTTCCCCTGGTTTACCGAGACAGAGTCGCACTTTGCAGCCCAGCCTGGCTTTGAACTCTCAATTCTTCTGTCTCCGCCTGCTAAATGCAAGTGCCATCCTTTTTTGTTTGTTTTTTCGAGACAGGGTTTCTCTGTTCAACAGCGCAGCTGGAACTCGTTTTGTAGACCAGGCTGGCCTGGAACTCTCTGAGATCTGCCTGCCTCTGCCTCCTGAGTGCTGGGATTAAAGGTGTGTGCCACCACATCAGGCTAACACCATCTTTCTTTAAAAGAAATAAAATACTTTTTTTTCTTGAAAAAAAAAGAGACCTCATAGTTTTGGGATGTGTGTGTGTGTGTGTGTGTGTGTGTGTGTTGTGTTCATGAGAGACAATGTTTTATAATTTTTCTCATTCCCAATGATCTAACCAGGCTTGATTTCTTAAAATGCATTGAGAAATGTTCCTTTTAAAATCTATTCTCTGAAGTGGTTTGTGTAAAAAAAAAATGGCATTAGTTTCTCTTTGAAGGTTTGATGCAATTTATTAATAAACCCATCCAAGGTACTTCTGTACAAAGATTTGCATTTAATATACCACACAGAGACATTTAGTGATGTGGGATTCCCCTCTGTATTCTGTGAATATGTTTTATTGTCATTGGTTAATAAAGAAGCTGCTTTTGTCAATGGCTTTACAGAGTAAAGCCAGGTGGAAAATACAAAGAGAGATGTAGAGTAGTAGGCGGAGTCAGGGAGATGCCACATAGCAGGATGCCTGATGGAACCTTGCTGGCAGGCCACAACCATGTAGTGATACACAGATTAATAGCAATGGGTTAATTTAAAATATAAGATTTAGCCGGAAATATGCCTAAGCTATTGGCTAAGCAGTGCTGTAATTGATATAGTTTCTATGTGCTTATTTTGGATCTGGGTGGGCAGGAATGAACAAGCAGCCTCTGCCTACAATTCAGCTTTTCTACCTGCTTTTGATTTGTAAGAAATTTTGCTGTTCTTTTTAAGTTCACAAATACAAGAACATGAAATCTGCACAATTAATTTTGTTGAACCTCTTTTTTAGTATGAGGATGTCCCTTTCTGGTCCTGATACAGATGGTTTGTGGGTTTGCCTCTCTCTCCTGCATGGGTTTTATGGTATTCATCAGTGGTTTTATCTTTGCAGGTAACCAGCCTTGGCCGTGCTGACTTCCTACTAACTTCTTTGCACATTGATTTTCATCTCATCTCTTTCCTTTGGGCTTTATTTATTATGGGCTCCCTGGAAACAAATTATCTATTATCTAAATATTCACTTAGTGGCACAGAGTTCTCTCTGAGCACTGTGTTTTTGGGGTGCATTTTATGCATTTTAAGTTTGATCCTAGGCAGGTCTGAGAAGCTGTCTTCCACCTCCATCTTAGCCACTGTTTTGTCGCTGTGAAGAGATACCATGCCAAGGCAACTTATAAAAGAAAGTGTTTTATTGGGAGTCACTTATAGTTTCGGAGGGTTGGCCCACAACCATCATGGAGGGGGCAGGGTGGCAGGCAGGGAGGCACGGTGCTGGGGAGAGAGAATTGGGCATGGGGCGTGGGGTTTTGAAACCTCAGTGACACAACAAGGCCAACCTCCTAATCCTTTCAAAACAGATCACCAACTGGGTTCTAAGCATGCAGTCATATGCGCCTTTGGGGGCCATTCTCATTTAAATCACAACATGCAGACAGAACACTGTATATATAATAAATAAAGCTTTTAAAAAAACTTTAATTAAAAAAAGTTATTAACAGAGGACAAGAGTTGACACTCTCCTTGAACCACGTGTCTCAGGGATCGAACTCTGGCCCCTTTGCCTGTCGAGCTACCCTGACAGGCCAAATTCTTCGTGTTTATTTAGTTTGTGAGCCACGAGGAGAGGCACATCAGAGCACCCGACTTTAATTACGGCTTATTCACTTTTCATTTTATTTTTGCTGTATATTTTGAAGCTGTTGTTGACTGCTCTCCTTGAATTTTAATCAAATAGCTTTTGTTTGTTTGTTGTTTGTTTTTCAAGATAGGATTTCTTTGTGGCTTTGGAGCCTGTCCTGGAACTCACTCTAGAGTAGACCAGGCTGGCCTCAAATGCACAGAGATCTGCCTGCCTCTGTCTCCTGAGTGTTGGGATTAAAGGCTTAAAGGTGTTCACCACCTCCGCCCGGCAATAGCTTCTTTTGTTACCATGAAATCCTCTTTCTGCCCAGTAACACTTCTTTTTGGGGGTGGTGAGTGTGAGAGAGGGTCTCTCTACATAGCCCAGGCTGGCCTGGAACTCACAGAGATTCACCTTCCTCTGCCTCCAGGGCCCTGAGATTAAAGGCATTTGAGTTCAGTCGGGGATGCATAAGACAATTTCTCAGAAGTAAAAAAGGTTTAAGAAAAAATAAAAATAATTATTGTTATGACAAGAGGCTGCCAAGCTGGAATCTTAGAGTAGGATGTCACTGAAGTCAGCTCTCACTGCATCGCCTGTATTGGCTAGCAAGGCCACCACTCTCTTCACACCGGCTCCTGGCTTCTCTGATGGGAACCCCAGCCCTGTGGGAAGGCACCGTGCTATGTCTGACAAGTCAGTAACTCTGCAGCTCGGGAACGGGGGTGGGGGGATTTCCTGGACATTTTACCAGGCTGTAAGCTTCTGGCATTTCCCTGTCTGCCCCCACACAGATGCTTCTGGAGCGAGATTCACTTTGGTATCATGCCAAGCTTCCTGAAGGGACATGACCAAGAACCTGCCCTGGACCTGCTGTGCCATGTACATCTTGCCTAAGATAAGCCCTGAGTTTCAGGAGGCCATCGTCAGATGGACATGGGGCAAATGGAGACAGAGGGACCGTCTGTCCTGCCTGCCCACCCAGCTGCCTGATGTCTTTATGTAACCTGGAGGTTCCTTTTGCACAGAAAGAATAATTCTTATTAGTGTAATAAACTAAGCAGCAGATAGATCTTTTTTAGTTACAAACTTGACATAACTGATTTAACTGTTTGCTGCTTCCGATTCCTTACATGTTAACTGGAGCCAGAGAAGAACAAGCCGAGGGAGAGGAATTGGTTAGCATAAGGAGGCCGTGCTCTAGCGCCACCTGCTGTCCATGGACTAGCGGTACCACCAGCTGCCAATAGTAGCAAAGGATTGGAGTTAATTTCCTTCCGTGTGCACCTCTGTGCCCACATGCCATGTCATTCCTGGAGTGTCAGAGAGCTATGCTCAGCCACCCCTCCTCAACACACCGATTAAACGATACAAGCCATGGAGCCGGAGCGATGGTTCAGTGGCTAGAACACGGACTGCTATTCAAGAAGGCCTGAGTTTGGCTCCCAGTGCCCATGTCTGGCAGGTTGGTTTGGAGCTCATAACTGCCCATAAGTCCAGCCAGGGAACCAATGTCTGAGCACATACTCCACATACCCCAAACACAGCTTTTTTAAAACTGAAAAAAGTCATTGTGAAATGCGGAGGTTTATTCAATGTGGCCTCATTGGGAAGAGGAACAGCAAAGGGGTCCAGTGACCCCCAAGTCCATCTTCAGGGTCTGACCTGAGCCTGGGTTTAATAGACGGTATGTGGTTTGCAGAGCTAAACAGTCCTGGTCAGGGTGTGATCCCGCCCACATCACCGTCTGGGCTCCATCTCTCCTGCAAGATGATCCAGCAGGCTGCAGAAATGTGTGCCATCTCTCCCCGGAGGCAAGCTCAAGTCTCTCTGGCTGGTATCCGGCTTCAGCCTTTCCCTTCCCCCAGCATGAGATGCCTGGGGAAGCTTTAATTCTTTGGAGTTCATTGTCTCTAACATTTCATCGTCAATGGAGGGGCACACATTCTCTCCCACTAGAGCGGTTCTAGTTTGTCAAGAACTTGTCTGTCAAAGCTGAAGAGCTGTCCTAGCCTCATCAGAACATGTTACCTAAGAAATGCATGGAGGATGCTTTGGGAACATCTGGTAACTTACATCTGGACTGCGGGATTGCATACACATGAAGAAGCAAAGCAGTGCAAACATGCCCATCAGTGCCTGAGATGGAGCTGGCATCACCTGCCTGCCTGTTGGATACGAGCCCCAGCTGTTTTGTTCATTGCCACATCCCAGAGCCCAGGTTTTGTTTATCTGCTCAGTGAATGAGTAAGAACCAAGGAGAACTGGGGCTGAAGAGGTGGTGACTCAGCAGGTAAGAGTGCTTACCACTCTTGCAGAGGACCCAGGTTCGATACCTAGCACTCGCCTGTCGGCTCACAATCACCTGTAACTCCACCTACAGGGAATCCGATGCATATGACACACATAAACACATGAAGATACAGAAGCATATACATAAAAAAGAATTAGAGGTGTTCAGCACCAAAGGACCTCTGATATGGGGCCAGGGGACACTGAAATGGATTGCTGGGACTAAGGAGTTTATTAGAAGAGTTATTAATGCCATGGAGAGACGGACAGACAGTATTATAGGGGGGGGGGGCTCAGTGGAGAGTTCAGGCCTCAGAACCAGAGCTAGACATCATGGCTGTGACTCTCCAGGGAGGAATCTGGGCACATGCAGAAGAAGTGAGGGTTCTTCTTATACCTTTCTGAGGACGGGGGAGGCTTGACAGCTGTCTTAGGGTTTCTACTGCTGCGATAAAACACCATGACCGAAGCTACAGTGGGAACAGAAACTAGGAGCAAATCCAGCCCTGGGAGCCAACCCAGATCTGGGACACTGGCAGACCAGGATTGAGCCAATGACCTGACTCAGAGTCTGCAATCTCCACTGGAACTGGAGTGGAACTGAACCAGCTACCTAAGACACAGAGAGAACAAGCTCCACCAGGAGCCGAAGCTAGGAGCAAACCCAGTCCCGGGACATGGGCGGATCAGGACTGAGCCAGCAACCAGATCCAGAGTCAGCAATCGCAACCTCAACAG